AGGGGGTGTTTGGGATTGCTTATTTAAAACAACTTATGCTTTTTTGTAAAAGTGCTTATTAACTTATGTGGTATCAAACTGGAGTTTTGTAAAAAGTGTTTGGATTAGCTTATAACGGTACCAAAAAGCAATAAGTTGATAAGTTGGTTTTTAGTGTTTGGCAAATTTGGCTTATAGATGTAAAATTACCAAAAAGGTCCTCCAATCAACCTGTGTTCATCGTCTCCATCCTCGTCACTCCAAACCCTATTTTCTCCAGATTCCTCTCCATCCTCATCACTCCAACCCTATTTTTTCCAGATTCCTCTCTAGTGTTCATCCGTGTTTGCACCCGCCGTGGTTGTCATCGCGAGACCCTGTGAGTGGTTTCTCCCCGAGAACCTCTGCATCGGCGAGTTTCTTGGCACCGATTTCCGTCTCCAAGACGACATCGGTTGGTTTCCTCATGGAATCGCATTCTGTTTTCGTCGTCAGCCTCCATCACAGATTTGCTTCCTCATCTAAAATCGAGGCTTCTTCTCCATTGAAATCGCTGCGGTTCATCCCTGTCGATTGGTCACTGTCACTCTTACAGGTTTGATTTCTTCTATAACTGTTGATATTTTGTTCTTAAGGGTTAAAATGGTAAATTGTTAATAAGTTGATTTTGATAAGTCAGGGGGGATTGACTTATCAAAAACGACTTATTACCGGTTTGGTACCGGTATAAGCACTTTTTTTTTTTACCCAAACACTCCAAAATGACTTATCTCCGGTACCAAACTGAAATAAGTTAATAAGTCAGTTTGAAAAGCTTACCCAAACACCCCCTTATTGAATGACGCCTCAAATCAACAAAAATGCAAATCACCCCCACAAAATTATAACTGAGTAAAGAGAAAGAATTGAGAGATTCATATGTTTGTATAATTCCAATTTTAGTGTGAATATCTCCAATTAAGAGACAAAAATACTATACTTACAATAACAAAAACTCATATTATATTTCTCTTATTGAATGACGCCTCAAATAAACAAAGTGCAAATCATCTCAAAAACTGAATAGAGAGGAATAATTGAGAGTTATTTTTTCTTAAACAATGTTACACTATTTCTTCAAAGATTCATATGTCACTTTATCCACACACAAAAACACCATATGCCTACATAATTCCAACTTTAATGTGAATATCTCCGATCCAATTTTAATGTGAATATCTCTAATTAAAAGACAAAAATATTATACTTACATTAACAAAAATCCGTATCATATTTCTTTTATTGAATAACGCTTCAAATAAACAAAAGTGCAAATCACCTCAAAAACTTAATAGAGAGGAAGAATTGAGAGGTTTTTTTTCTATCCAGTGTTACACTATTTCTTCAAGGATTCATATGTCACTTTATCCCACAAAAACTACTTATGCCTACATAATTCCAACTTTAATGTGAATATCTCCGACTAAAAAAAAGAAAAATCTTATACTGACATAAGCAAAAACTCATACTATGATTTGTCTTATTGAATGACACCTCAAATCAACAAAAATGCAAATCGCATCCACTAATTTATAACTTAATAAAGAGAAAGAATTGAGAGATTAATAAAGAGATTATCATAGAGGTGTATCACAAAATTATACATGAATAGTGAGGGAGAATTGAAAGATTAATAGAGAGGTTATCATAGAGATGTACCACAAAATTATACATGAATAGAGAGGAAAAATTGAGAGATTAATAGAGAAGTTATCATAGAGATGTACCACAAAATTATACATGAATAGAGATGAAGAATTGAGAGATTATTATAGAGGTGTACCATGAAGAGAAGATGAAAAATTATAACCGAATAGAGAGAAATAATGAGAGTTAAAAGAGTACTTAATAGAGGGAACATGAATAGGTTGAATTATTATAGAGGTGTACCATGAAGAGAAGATGAAAAATTATAACCGAATAGAGAGAAATAATAAGAGTTAAAAGAGTACTTAATGTGAACCCTATGGTGTGAACATCAAGGTATGAACATTCATGTGAACCCTATGGTGT